ACATATGTTCTTTCTGTGGATTGACAGAAGAATCTAGGGATCATCTTTTTTATACATGTTCTATATCATTACATGTTTGGCAACACTTCAAGGAATATTACCTCCCCTTTCAATGGCCTTTATGTTTCACAGATCTCCTAAAATCAGTTGAGCATCTTAAGGGCAAGAACGGACACTTATGGCGTACAATTCTATCATCAATATGCTGGAATATTTGGCTTGCCCGAAACAAATTCATTTTCGAGCATACTAATTTTTCATATAAATCAATTATTAACCTCTCAATCTCTGGTTTATATGATTGGATAGGTGCTGGAAGTGGTTCAGTTACTAAACATCTCTCTACAAGACTTGAGGAGCATCCAATTAGCAGGAGAAGTTCTTGATGTGAAGATCTGCTTGAAATTTCACTTTTTGGAATGTTTTTTTGTAATTTTTGTATCTGAACTCCTTCACCTTGTTTATTTTTTTTGGTCTGTTAGTTTATAGAAAATTTAATTTCTTCTAATTATACGTATAGCTGGCTTTGGTTCTTCTTTATATCTATGTCAACGGTGAATGAAGGTAAGGCCCACTCTTCACCTTCATAGATCTTTAGAAGAAGAAGGTTATACGTCACTAATTATAAGAAATTATATTTTCTATCTACTAACTTTTGGATACATTTCGTATCCTTTTTTTGTACTTATAACAACTTTGTATTTGCTTTTTGGTTTATTAATGAACAGGGTCTAACCCTTGTTTTTCTATCAAAAAAAAAACAATAATCGCCAAAAATACAGCTCAATGTGTACTTGGAATGGAAGAATTATTTCAACACAATGTAGACTTTAACACTATGCAAGCTAATTTTACATTTCTTCACGTGGGTCTCAATGCCTCATAGTAACATGAAATATCCGCCAGCTATATTCTACTGAAATAACAAAATAAATGGAAATGATTTAAAAATATATTTATTTTGAAACAGATGAAGTTTGAAACCCCAACCTGTCAAAATCTTGGAATTGATTAGAGTCTGTATATAGAACTAACTTTACATAATCTATTTCGATTAAACCTCAATTCCGAAAGTTTCAAATTGCAGTATTATAGTAGTCCATTTGATGTCTGGATTATGTCTTTTAGACCCACAATTTTATTTGCTCGCCTAAAAGCTTGTCTCCCTGTTTGAACCAAGTGCAGCTAAAAGTTTGTCTCCCGGTTTGAACCAAGCGCAACTATCTCGTAGTGGGGGTTAGCCACTTACTAATCATAAACTTTTATATTGATACACCCTAATGTCCAGATGGAGATATATTTCGTGTACTCATCACGTGGGTGCCGTGTGAAGTCAATATATTTGAGAGATCCCTTCATATTTCAAAATGTTATAGGGAAATATCTTATTTTTCTAGGGGTTGTTTAGGAATTGGATTTGGATCTTGGATTTATGACAAGGTAAAAACTCCAAGGAATCTTTAACTATCCAAAAAGTTTTTGATTTTCTGTTCCGTTTGTAGAATATTAGAAAGTTAATTATGTCAATAGAACCCGCCTACCCTGTGCGCACTACCAAGTGATCTCAGACGCTTTGAGTACAATCCAAAATTTTTGTTTGTAAGACCATCTCCAACCGACCTCTAAAATGACGAAATCTTCAAATTTGAAGAGCGGAACCTCTCCAAGCACTTTTCAAATTTGGAGATCTCCAAATTTTACCCTCCAAATTTGGAGGGTGAAGAAAAAATTTGGAGAGTGAAGAAAAAATTTGGAGAGTCTCTCCAAAATACTATTCATGTTTCATTAATTATAACTTTGCCACTTTTAACTATTTAGTTTCTTAAAATTTGTCATCATTCTTAGTAATTTAAATTAGATGTTTAATTTCAAATAAATATAGTTAAAAAATTATTAATCTAATATTTAAAATCATTATATATTTGGAAAGGTCTCGTTAAGATCTTTAAAATGAAACTAAGATTAATTTATTTTAGTATTATTATAAAATTATTAATTTTTAAATTAATTAAATAAGTATCAGACATAAAATTTTAAATACGGGGATCTATTTAACTTACCCCATAAAAAAATACAAGCATAAATTATAATATTTAAATTACATTACTTTGTTGTCGTGCCTCTTCGAAGCATAAAATGAGCTTCCCTATCTTGAATATTCATATGTCGATCAAGGAATCGTTGGAATCATTCGGCATCATCAATATCTATTTCTTCAGTTCTTGAAGATTCGCCGTGAACAATAATCTCTGGTATTGCATCGCGTTCATCCTCCACAGTCATGTTATGTAATATAATACAAGTAGTCTTATGTCGTGTAGTCCCCGCTTGTCCCAAGAACGTGATGGTCCCTTGTAATACAATAATCTCAGGTCTTGAAGATTTTTTTTTTTAATATGTTGTATTGCATTATTAATATTGGGTTCATTTTAAAGCTCTCATCGACACCTTTATAATGTTATAATTTTTTTCCAAATAGATTATTAAAAATAAAATTATT